AGACGACTGCTTATTGATTATATAAAGATGATGTTATTGGAAATGTTGTTACTGTATCCTTAAAAATTCAAAATAAATGAAGTAACAAAACCAATTCTATAACATGTTTCCCTACATATGTCCCCTAAAAGAGAAGCTATTATTTTGTTTACGTTTCATCATGTGATCTCTTGTGAACTCTGATTTTTCCTTTTCTTATATCTATATAGTTACAGACAGCCTGGTGTACTAAGGGCCATTTACTTATACTTCATCGACAATCACAAAATACCGCTAATAACAGAACGATAATGTATGATAATAGTACATTCCCTTGCTGTGAACGCAATCATAACTCAATATTTACATTTTTTAAGCGGAGCTTGCATGGATACAAATTGATTTCATTGATATGGAATTATTCTTTGAATAGTCTTATAGAGTAATTTCACAGTGGAGGCTTGTATTTAACTAAGTCGGTCCTAAAAAGGTTCGACGTACAAAACGTTAGGAACTTGATATAATAGTTAATGACGCAGAAATCTAGTTGTGGTAGCTGATACTTTAATGTCCGATATCGACTGACTGACCAACTCACTGAGTCTATTTAGTCACTGCCCCACGCAGTCACATGTGGCACAAGGCCGAGTTTAATGTGGGGTTCCCGAGCCCGTAGGCTCGTTCAAAAATATGCCCATTGAACCCGTATAAACGGGTTCAGGGACGGTTTACCTCCCCGACAGAGACTCCGCCCTTCGGCGTAGCCTCCTTCGGGTTCCTCTCCGACCGAAGGCAGAGAGTTCAACCGGTCAGCTGGTCGTCCGACTTCAGACTGAACTCGGACCAACTCACTAAGCCACTGGCGACTGCTACTACTCCTACTTATTATAGGTAGGAGAGTCTATTAACAATAGAATAGGTGTATTCCAGTATAACAAATAGGCAATTTATTATGAAGTTATGCCAGTAATATATAAGGTAGAAATGGTTTTATTACTTTTATTATCAGTTTATTTCGTAATGTGAATCTTTTCATGTACGTTATTGGTTCTTGCACTGAGGCCAAGGTTAGCCTACAGACAAACATCACTCAGAATTTAAGTTTTCTTTTTTTTTTTTTATTATAGTAGTATAAAGGTGATTTTAAGAAATTAAATGTCGTCTTATACAGGAAATATACGTTATATGAAAACTTGTCAGCCATTAATATTTTTGTCTTGTATTTATTTAATCTCCATTTTAGTTGTTTTCTTTCCATAACTAATTAGGACTTCAGTCAATAGCTGCTTATAGGTTATTCTTTCTTTTCGATCAGCTAGGTATACCGACGGTCCGAAGCATCACGATGAAGAGTAACTAGAATTAAGAATAAACAAATATTAGTCAAAATACATTCTGTTAATCTGATTTAACATAATAAATATATTACAGAATTTAGTAAACAATTTGATAACTGCACGCCAACAATGATACAAAAATGAGCATAATTAAAGAAAAAAAAACTGTTTAAATTCTGATCCAAGATTGATGAGATAGAGCGATTTTCCAAGCGTAGCTTAGATGCAGCACAAGGACGAAAGTTGGGTGCACCCAGGGAGAATCGAAATCACTACTCAGTCGAAATTATTCTAGTGAGACAAGCTTGTTAACCAATACACCACCTCGAGATGACCAAATTTTCTTAGCGTAGCTTAGATGAGGCACACGCCCGAGAGTATGGAGCACGCAGTGAGGATCGAACTCACTATTCAGCCGTAATTGCTTTAGCGAGACAAGCTTGCTAACAATCGAACCACGCCGAGGTGCCCAAAATGATGAGACTTATAGAGTAAAGCTAATTTCCATATCATAAAATGACGAGGTATAGAGCGTAAAACTAATTCCGATATGATAATTTCACCTTAAAATGTTCCTAAAATGACGAGATATAGAGCGTAAATCTAGTTCCGATATGATAATTACACGTTAATAATGTTTCTAAAGACGACATATAGAGCGTAAAGTTAATTCCGATAACATAATTTCACGTTAATAATACAATTCGTGTTGGACTGCGTTATATTTTTTTTTTACTAAATTTCGTCTCAGACTAGGCTCGAGAGCCATTAAAATTAATTTTTTAATATCGCGCATGCGTGTTGTTTGTTTTTGATTTTGTTGACTATACAGTATAGTAGGGTCAGTTCGGCACCCTCTATGAGAAAAAGAGCACCATGACGCAATTCATTCCGCCAGAAATTTGGAAGCGGCATGCTATACTGCTTGGCATTCGCGCCGGAAGCTCCAATACGAACATTTCAGAGTGTTTGGGTGTCAATCGGAGTAGAGTTCAGGGTGATTGCTAAGACCCTATGTCTGGCAACAGGACTCTGCACCATACCACACAAGCAGGAGAAGCCAGTCATGGCGGTCAGACAATTTGTGCAACCACAGCATCCCTTACATCTGACCATATAACTCCCCAGACTGTAACCCCCTTGATTATTACGTGTGGGGTGCAATTTGAGCGAGAGACCAACAAAACTCCTTGTAACACCAAAGATGAACTGAAGGTCAAAGATTATGGTAGCTTTCAGCAACTTAAACAAGGAGACCTCCAGAAGAGTTGCAGGAGATTCCGAAGTCGTCTGGGGGCCGTGGTTGAAGTCAGTGGCGATGTTATTGAATAAATTTACTGTTTTTTATTTCAAGATATTTTGTATAGTTTTGCTAAATATATCTGTTAAAATGAGATGTCAGTGTTGTTTTCATATTTGCATAATTTAGATGACAATTTATACATCGCACCCTGTATATGATTATTGATACAAACAATGGGCGAGATTTTCAAACGAGTCCAAAATGTCTATCATACAAATTCATAAACATACAAACCGAAACTTGCAAACATCATAAGCCAAACACTTTTTCTTTGTTGTTTTTTTAATACATAAATTCACCGAATGCTAATCTCGACAACCACTTAAGTTAGAGCATTACTGTAAAATGGTTATCATGAATGAGGTTTGTGATATGAATAAAAGAGAAGATTATATAAAGTGAATATTATGAAGATAAGGAGTCTAGATAACGATTGAACTTTGACTTGAAGTGGTTAAGGTTGTAGTGTTCCGGGAAGCATTTACGTGGGAGTCTATTCCAAAAAGTAGCAGTTATTGGAAAAATAGCTGAGTGGAACTTCCTTTTTACAGGAAATGAGGTTGATTCGACTCTGTAGAAATAGCATGGCGTGTCCGAGTTGTAAAGGTCTGAACTGGTGGAAATTAAGAATGGAGCACGTCTAAACATGGAAAGATCCTTTAACATATGTGTTCTATATTTGATATTTTTTCAGAATTTACATTTCCTTTTATCTGTTCAAAAACAGACCCGTAAGTATATTCTCACCCATTTAGCATAGAAAAGCTTACACGCTGTCATATGTTGACCATAGGGGAGTGGAGAATGAAAAGAGTTTAGATATGAACAAACTTAGAGAGACAGACAGGCAGACAGATAGATAGATAGATAGATAGATATGAATAGATGGACATAAATATTAACAGACATGACTTTTTGGAATGTTTTTTCAATTTTCAAATGGGCCATATAATCCCTGTCTCGTGTTTGATGGTGTCTATCACTGCAGACAGATAGATAGATAGATAGATAGATAGATAGATAGATAGATAGATATGAATAGATTGACATAAATATTAACAGACTGGGAAATTCTAATTTAGTTTCTATTACTTAATTAAATACTAACATGTGGGAGTCTTTAGGCATTACTTGCGGTGAGTCTATTTTTATATTTGAAATTCTGCTAATGTGAAGATCCTGTCGTTGTGGTTGTAAAAGTAGACATATGACTTTTTGGAATGTTTTTTCAATTTTTCAAATAGGCCATATAATCCCTATCTCGTGTTTCATGGTGTCTATCACTGCAGACAGATAGATAGATAGATAGATAGATAGATAGATATGAATAGATTGACATAAATATTAACAGACATATGACTTTTTGGAATGTTTTTTCAATTTTTCAAATAGGCCATATAATCCCTATCTCGTGTTTGATGGTGTCTATCACTGCATCATTTGTGATGCAATCTACATAGGAGATGGCTAAGATGGTTCTAAGAATGTAATTTCTAATGATTGGGTTCTTCGCTGAAATTCTGCTGTTAATATCCAAGATTCCCAGGCGTTACAGAAAGATTGAGAAGGCTAATGTGCGTAACAATCTGACTACGAGAACATTAAGGCAGAGGTTCTTGTCCTTTCAGATGATCCTTAGTTTTACAACAGCTGTTATTTTTGTGCTGTCTTTGAAATAATTACCATTCTGATGTCCCCTTCTCTGAAAATCGAGCCAAAATAACTGTGTTGGCTTAAGTTCCTGGACACAGACTAAAAGTGCTGAAACATTGTTTGCCATGGCATTGTTTTTTTTTGCATTAATTTCTATCTCTTTAAATTAATTAAACAAAGTTAATTGGATAATATGTTCACTTGTCATTTTTCCATTTTTTAATTCAATTTATATTTCATGTCAATTAGATTTAAATTATTTTAATGCTAATAAAGCTAATGGCACCTTTAATAGTTGAGTGATGGTTTTTTTAACTTCTACATGACTTACGATCACATCACTACCAAGATGAGTGACTGCTTGAAAATAACAATTGCTGTAAGCTTAGATGTGTGGGTGGTGTAATGGATAATAGCTCGCAATTGTTAATCGGAGAGCCGAGTTTCAATTCCAGTTGTGTCGTTATATTCACTTACGTGCAAATACCCTTGGAAAATGTATAAATCCATTTCTTCTCCCCAGTTATGGGTTAATTAGTAAGATTTGTATCTAAATCATTATTATCTTCCATCTCCGCAATTCTTACAATCTAAAAATATTTTCTGGCATTAAATAGCCTGCAAAGGGTTGATAAGCCGTAAAAAATGAATCAAAGTAAAATCAACTGCTACGTTTGTATTTTGTGTCGTTGTGTTTGTGGGTTAGTATCAATGTGAATACGACCTAATCAAGAGTGGAGAGAGAAAGAGAGAGAGAAATAGTAAAAGTACAATGTTGAAAAAGAAAGAAGAAATAGAAAAAGGAAATAAATAATATAATTGAGTAAAACAGACTCAAAGAGAGAGAGAGAGAAAGAGAGAGAGAGAGTAATAGAGAAATAAATGAAAGAGTGAGAAGCAATCAACGCAAAGAAAAAAGGAAGCGAAAGAAATAAATGAAGGAAGAGAATGTAAAAAACGAAGAAAATAAGAGAGAGAGTGAAAGAGCGAGAAAGTGGGAGAGGGAAAGAGAGGGAGAGAAAGACAGAGAAAAAGAAATTAATGGTAGAAAAGGAAAAAAGAGAAAGAAGTAATAGAATGCAAGAAAGAGAAAAAAAGAGGGTATAGAACTCAAAAGAAAAGGAAAAAGAAGAGAAAGAATGAATCCATGCTCTTAAAGGAAAAGAAAGATAGAGCGAAGGAGAAAAATCGAATTAAGTAGGAACAAATATGTAAAAAAATATGAAAGATGGAAAATGCAGAATCGATTCGTAAGAAAAAAAAATGACACGTAGAAATATCAATATAAAAAGGAAGGAAAAGAAATGGAACAAAATACTAGAAAGAAAAAAAAGGAAAAGAAAAAGAAAGAAATGGAAACTAGTCTGAGGGAGGGAGACAGTGAGAAAGACGGGGAGAGAGCCGTGTTGGTGATGGACAAAAATAGAGAGAAAACATCGATTTTCATAACATTTTCTCAATACGCTGGCGCGCATGCGCGTGTGTGTAGATAAATAACGGAAGATCTTTCAATTTCATTGATTCGCATTTATATATAAAAAGCCAAATAAAACAATAAAACAAAAAAATATTCTTGTTTTTCGATGCCATCTGGTAGACTTTATTCGCCCTATTAAAACACTACAATTACAACTTCAACAACATCTGTTTATTTGCGAATTACAGTACGCGTTAATTTTATAATTTCAATCAATTTCTGTGCCCGTGGGTTAGTAGTGGCTTCATATTAAACCGGAGAGGATTTTATAGACACAAAAAAACAGGTTATACAAAATGGCGAACTTCGACGGTATTCTTTTAATTCATGAAATTTTGGATGTTAATATTTCCGGGCAACTTCACATGAATTAACAAACGAAGATATATATAATATATATATTGATAAATATTTGTAAAAAGGGTTGGACTTAAAAAAAAGTAAGTACATACTATTTTTGTATTAAGTTTTTGTACTTAAAAGCTATAATATTTTATAGATTTACATATATATATATATATATATATATATATATATATATATATATATATATATATATATATATATATATATATATATATATATATATATACCTAATATTTAAAATGCATTTTAAAAGTGATAAATATTTCTTAAAGCTTTTATTTAGTTTTTAATTTTAAGCTAATAGTTTAAATTTAATATTTACAATAAGCAAAATACTTTGCTAGATTTATTTAGAATCGATAAAATCGTCCATATTGACAAAACTATCAACACAACAGTTTATTAAAAAAAATCTTTCAAAAATAAAATATACTTTTCTGAAACATTAATTGTGAAAAATTAGCTGATTTAAAGTTTACATAATCTGAAACAAAACACATGTTACTTTTAGTTTAGAATATCGCAGAAAGTATTTTTTAACATGAGGTTGAAACATTTATCGACAGTCTGATGTTTGGGAAATTTTCTGGAAGGGATAAATAATTATAATAAAATTACATGATGAATACAACGTAAATACCGTTTTTAAAATATTTTCTATAACTGGGATTTCTTTTTGATCAAAAACATTTGACGACTTGTTATAGCTAATAAAAACATTAAGCGCTATAAAAAAGAAGTATTGGAAATTTCATAAAAAAACATATTTTTACCAAGATTTTCTAAAAAGGAAACGTTTCAAAAATAATTTCATTCATTTATGAATAACTTCTGATAGGTTCATTAAAATCCAACAATTTTCTGATTTTTGGAAGAATTTCAAAATCAATGTGTTTTAACCGCAAAATGCATAAAAATTTATGGTTCCGTATTGACACCAGAAAAGCAAGGTTTTTAACCAAAACAAAAAAGGTTCTAAAAAAGATTAAATAAGTCATTTTTGGCTAAAAATCCTTTTTAAAACTGTTTTCTTATGGTTGGGGCATTTTTTCATGTATGCTCATTTTTTAGCGAACATTTGAAGGTAAGGTAAATTATATATATATATATATATATATGTGTATACGATACATTAACGACTACTAACAAGGTATTAAGATTAAGCTTCTTATTCAATTTTTCTTATGAATTCGCATGTCCCTTAAGGAATTGCTTTCCTGATCAAACAATGTTCACGAATAATAATAATTGTACCTATCAAGAAGACTCGCGTTACATTTCTCTGACCATAGCTCAATTACGACTCATTTTAACACACCTTAAATATAATGGTAGAATTAATAATAATAAAAAAGCTACCACTCAATAACATCAACTATGAACACGGCTACAATGGGCTGACCGTGTTTGGAAAGAAAAGCATTCCATCACTCTCGATACATATATAAAACATCTATACATTCATTTAAAAAAAAATACTTGATAATGGCGAATAGAATATGTATGTATGTATGTATGTATGTATGTATGTATAGTTTACTTTGATTTTTACGCCCTTGAGAATATTTCTGAATATTTAAAAATTTTAAGAACCTAAAGATATATTTTACTTTTGTCTATAAATACATGTCGCAAAATGAAATCTTTACAATTGTCTAAATAAAGTTTACCAGAGGAGGAAACGCATTACTAAATATTTTCTCATATATATATATATATATATATATATATATATATATATATATATATATATGATAAATTGATTGTGCTTATCTCAAATCCTTCTAATAATTTCTATCACTTGTATATCCTTGCTTTAACCGGCTTCTAATGCTCTGGATGTAGCGGCTTGGGGATAGTAGTCGTGGCTCATGGGGGCACTGTCATATGGGTAAGGGAAACTCGGATGAGTTACAACATGGAATTTGTGAAGAGCTTCGCTATATCGAGTCTAATTCGTTATCTCTTTGTCGCCGCTGCTCGTTGGTATCGTTAGCACGAAGCGTGCGTCTTGTCGTAACGGTCGGGGTTCAAGTCTCAGTAGTAGATGCGCACTGCTGGACGGGATTCATAAGGCAGTTTCGTGCCCTGTCGAATGGTACATACTACTTATTAAAGACTATCTAGTCCTGTAGACGACAGTATATTGTTTAAAAAACGGACATGTCAACTCAAACACATTATCCACTAAAATGTACATATACGTAGTAATAAGAAATATATGCGTCTGTTACCTCTTATTTGACTGAGTATTCAAACCATGGTCTTTGCATGATGAAAAGTATCAATTTACTCTTTTTGGTTTTACATCAGGTTAATTTTAATTTGTTTTTTTTTTTATTGGCGATCATGGCTCTTCACAAGTTCATATCCTTTTTAGCCTTTAGCAATATCTGTCTTTATTTACTATTCCTCTCACCCATTTGCACAAACACGTTCGGGAGCTTACTCTCTCTACCCTCCGCTCCTATTGCCTTCATTATGCCCCGAAAATGCCAGATTCTCTTTCCTCATTATATGTCACAGAAATTTCAATTGTTTCTAATTTTAGACATGTGCCCTTTTTCTTTACATTTTTCCTTGAAACTTTTTCGTATCTCCCATAGTCGGTCTTTAGTATGCTCAGCATCCTTCTGTAGTACCAACTTCCAGTTGCTTCAAGTCGATTCTTCATCTGTGAGGACATTGTCCAACATTCAGTGCCAGAAGGAAAGATTGATATTGTATAGCAATTCGACACTCTTTTCTTTGTTTCTAATGATTTTTTCTTTCTTATTTTGTTTAGCTTATCTCTCGCTATTCCAATGTGACTTCGGATATCCGTGTCACATTTACAGTCATCCCTTAAAACCCTTCCCAAATAGTTACTGTTCTATCCTTGCTTAACTTTAACATCGCTAATTCGTAGCTCGTTTCTTGGAATCCATTTTGTTAAACGACCATACATTCTATCTTCTTACTGTTGATGTTAAATTTGTGGCGGTGTTGACAATTAATTAATTCTGAATCCAGACAAATCATCTTCCACCAACAAACATACAGCAATGTGATAATTGCGTAAAAACAAAAGTTTGAAATTGAATTCAAACAATGCGTGGGTAAAGGAATGTAAAGATAAATGTTGCGGTTTCAATATCACTTGAAATATTTATTTTTAAAAAATTATACAGAAGCTCTGAAGACGATGCAGTGACATGGAAGAAAGTAATTCATAAATACGTTAAGAGTGTATCTATACGCTTTTTAAATCATTTCACCTCAAACCAGGCAATAAAGCCACTAAGACGCAAGCAGCTTCTGAGTGTTAGAAAATATGGAAAAAAACACTATTCAGGATAGAGAACATTAAAAGAACAAGAATTAAGAAGATAGTGGATAACGATTGAGATACTAGGTTACAAAGTGAACATGGATGTGCGGGTGGTGCAACAGATAGCTCGAATGAATAGCCGAGTTCGAATTCCATGCGGCTTTGTTACATTCATTATGCGCAAATACTCTTAGAAAAGGTATGAATTCATCTCGTCCCCACACCTATGGATTAAATAGTAGGACTTATTTCTGAAAAAAATCAGTTATTCTCAGAAAATTGTTATTGCAATATTCACTCGAAAAAAAAGAAAGAAAGGAAGGATTCTTATAACCCAAAATATGTTTCGGCTTTAAATAGCCTACAAAGGGTTGATAAGCCCTAAAAAATAAATCAGCTACAAAGTGGACAGTTGCATCTCTTTTTTTTAGTTGACTTTTGTGTTCAGTGAGAAACACACACACACACACACACACACACACACACACACACATATATATATATATATATATATATATATATATATATATAAGTGAACATTGAAGTCAACACTCAGAGGCGACAGGCTGTTTCATGCTGGACCCAATCGTCAGGTCACGAATGCTGGATTTTTCCTCGGCTATTTATATGTCCAGCATGAAACAGCCTGTCGCCTCTGAGTGTTGACTTCATTGTTTACTTTTATATTTATATTTACATACCCTCTATCTCTGATATTGAGCACTTTATCCCATAAATATAGCCCACCTTAAAACTATATTTCTTCATATATATATATATATATATATATATATATATATATATATATATATATATGTGTCTGCGGCTCGGATAGATGAATGATCAGACTCTGGCTCTACTGGTGGACAACATTCTTATACAAAGATTATTTGAATCGGATAAATTGTTTTTGAGTCATTTTCATTGCTCCATAGCTTAAAGAAAAGCGTTTCTTTTGAAGCCATTTCAATTTATCGGAAGTTGTCTACTCAGAAACTGTAAATCCGAAAGAAGTTTTCCCTACATGTTCTAAATAATTATTAATAGATTGGTATTCGAATTCGCTTCAAGTGACTGCAAGTCTTTTCTTCCAGCTTTCGTTCACTACCATGTCTAGGAATTTCTGCATTATTTTTCTATTTGCCAATGCGTATTGATTCATTTTCTACGACTTATCAACCATTTGCAGGTAATTTAAAGCCTGAAAATATATTTAGATTGTAAATTTTTTTAAGGTAATAATAATTTACTTAATTAATTAATATATGTGGGGAGAAGAGGTGGGTATATAGGT